TTAGCATAATAGGCCATACCCAACAGCAGGAACTCAGTAGCATATTAGGCCACACCCCTGACAGCACAGCTTATTAGCATATTAGGCTACACCCCCATGTTATCAGAAGTGTGGTCATCCAGCCACACCCACCTTTTGCTTCTTATTCTGTTTACGTTGTTTGTTATCAAAACCCAGGGCTTTTTTTGGAGCAGGAACTCCTTTACATGTTAGGCCACACACCCCTAATTTAGCCAGTCCTAATGAGTTTCTGCTGTTGGGTGTGGTCTATTATGCTAATGAGTTCCTGCCAGGCGTGGCCAACTTGGGAGCCAGCCGGAACTCCTTTCCTGTGTGTTCCTGCCCAAAAATAGCCCTGGTTCCTAGTGTGGAATACTGTCACTTTTTTTGTGCTTTCACCACACAGGTGTTGATGTTTTCAGTGAACTTTGTACTGTGACCCTTTGCTGTATAACCCCAGCCAATTTGGAACAGTTTCTATAGGTGTAGTTACTACTTTATGGAGTTTTTTTGGCTTCTTTATATATGGTGTTGCCCTTTAGTCATATCAGATGGGAAAGAGGGGAAGAGTCATATCAGATGTCTTCTTTTGATCTCAGAAACAGCTTCAGAACCTGGAAGATGCCTGTGATGACACCATGATGCTAGATGATGATTCGCTGCTGATACCCTATCAAATTGGAGACGTCTTCATTAGCCACCCCCAAGATGAAACGCAAGAAATGCTGGAGGAAGCAAAGGTTAGCAGCCGTTTGTGTACGTGTATGGGTGCATCCACACGCTGTTGAATATTGCGCTATCATTGTACTATAGAAAACATTTATGACTGGGTTTTCCTGTGTGTAGGACACAATTCAGTTGTGAACAACTATCCTAGGATTGTGAACAACTAGTATAATGTAATGGTAGGACAACATCCAACAGTGTTTGGATGCAGCCTCTTTGTGACGCACCAACAACCGAGAAGGAATCAGCCCGGTAAATTTGTTCAGGCTTTCTTTCTGCTAATATTTTTGGTACGCTAAATGATAACCATAAGAAATCCATCTCTGTCTTTCTGCATGAATGTTGAATAGGCACAGTAACAGTACCTGCATTCATAGGGCATTTGCGCCCCCCCCACCCCCCTGTCTCACCAGTGTCTTTTCTGGCATCTGATAAGACAGTTGCTGTAAATGGAGATAAGGGAACTCCAGGACCACATTGTTACGGTGCTGGTTAAGCATATGTCTGTGATGTACCTCCAACTGGAGGTGGCTGTGAGATGGGAAGAGAGTGAGTTAGACTTATCCTGCTCTTTGCCATCTAGATTACCATGTGCAGGGAAGTTTGTTCCTATGGAAGATTATTCATTCATGTAAACTAGAGATGTAGAAATTTCAGAAATTTTGAAGCCAGGATTGATTTTTCTCCATTTTTTGGGTGAAAAAATGGTACTGGGGGGGAGGGGATGAAACATATGCACTACTTTCCTTCTTATCGAATCTAAACCAATTTGACTGCCTTAATGCAGAATGTATGACTATTTGGCATGGAATCTAAAACCATGAACGCCTTAGTTTGGGATAAGCAAAATTCACACTTTGAATATGCCCAGTACATGAGAGAAGAGAAGAAGAGATTGGATTTATACCCCGCCCTTCACTCAGAGTCTCAGAGCGGCTTACAAACTCCTTTCCCTTCCCCTCCCCACAACAGACACCCTGTGAGGTGGGTGGGGCTGAGAGA